TCCCTTTCCTAGCCTGTGGCACGGCGTATGAGCCTGCCCTGCCCCTTTCCTAGCCTGAGGCATGGCGTGTGAGCCTGCCCGGCCCCTTCCCTAGCCTGAGGCACGGCGTGTGAGCCTGCCCTGCCCCTTCCCTAGCCTGCGGCACGGCGTGTGAGCCTGCCCGACCCCTTTCCTAGCCTGTGGCACGGTGTGTGAGCCTGCCCGACCCCTTTCCTAGCCTGTCGCACGGCGCGTGAGCCTTCCCGGCCCCTTTCCTAGCCTGTGGCACGGCGTGTGAGCCTGCCCGGCCCTTGCCGGTAGCAGGTAACCCATCATCGGGTTTTGCTCGCGGTTTCGATCGTGCTACAAGTGTGCGTGCGAAACGCAAGTGCGCACATCATGCGACACAGAGCACAAAATGCCCCTCGATGGACCTGGCGCGGGTCTGATAGCCTGATACTCAATCCATGTCAGCTGCATCGTTCTTGCCTTTCCTGTCTTCCCTTTCCTTTCGTCCTTGTCGATAACCCTTCTGAAAAGGAACGCTGTGCATCCCGCATGCACAAGATCATTCGTTAAGTGGTCACCGACCGCACACATTCAGCGCGGATTTCTAGTTTTTCACGTAATTGAATACGTCTGGTGTACTGTAATCCCACGAGTTATAGCCAGCGAGAAATCTGACCTATTCCAACCGCAATGCAGGAGTGCACTGCCGATACCGATGTATTGACCATGTTCATACCCCAAGGATGCATGCGCGTTGGTATATGGTAGGAAAACAAATGTCAATGTTCCAAAGCCCTGGGGAGTGCACCGGGGTCACCAAATAGGATACTCTCTACGCCGACGGGCTTACTGCCCACGAGTCTATTCCTCGATAACGGGCGCAGCCAGACATGACCGTGAACTCATCGAAACCCACACGAACAGCGGGCGTATCGCGCGGCAGATGCGGACGCCGACCTCAAATGCCGTCTAGGAGGCACAGCTGCCATCTCGGCCCAGTTCGCCGCGGGCAAAAGGCGACGCGACGGCCACAGTCGGTCCCGGAGGATCGCACTTGGCAAACCGCAGGTTATCTGTGCGCTGATCTGTGGCCGGCCCTTTTCAGGGGGTTCCGACCGCGGTTTGTACGCACGTTTGGAGACGGCATCGGACAGGTCGTGGGTCCGGGTTACAATCGTGGTTCTGAATAAAAAGGCGTATCAAAACCTATTGTGCTTTATTGAGGTGGATCTCCTCGTTCTCTTACACCTAGTCGCACAGCCAACATCTTCAGGTTCGGTCCGGTCTCCCTTGGTTCAAGGCAATGCACTACGAGGGGATGGGCGCTCAAACGAAGAGCCAGGTGCATACCCTAGGAATCTGAAGACACTCCAATCACCGGCACGAGTCTCGGTCGACTAAACAATAACATCGCACTAGAACAGCCCCCACGATAAGTCACGCTGCTCCGACGACACTGAATACGGTTAGGGATCAAAAATTGAAACAAACGCAGTGACCACCCCAACGATTTATCGTGAGAATGGTCGCAGCGATATCTACTCGGACGAAACGAATAAAGTTACACATAAAATGAAACAAACGTGGACAGTCCTAGAAACGATTTGCTGTCCTACTGGTCGCTGTGATAGATCAAAACGGTGCATGAATCGTGGATGGAAACAAAGTACTCTGAGGGCGGCATACACCAAAACAGAGGTAGGTTTTTATGCGGTAGTAGCCCTGGAGTGCAACAACGTGCCCGGAAATTTTACAATTCACGAGTTTAACAAAAGTGTGAAAAAACAGTTGCCTGTGAACAACGAACCAAACTTACACGACGTCCCTACTTATGTTACAATAATACGCGAATCTCACACAACGCATTGGTGGTGTCGTACGCAGTCCCCTGAGACCAACGAACCAATATTGATCACAAAGGCGAGGGCCCATCGGCAGATCCGCAGATTTGAAGCCCACTGCCCCTAAAGATCTGCCCATCGGCAGATCGGCAGACTACGGATCTCATCCATCCTACGCTCCAAACCACCGGCAACAACCATGCGACCTTGCACAGAATGTATCTCTCGACCGAGCCGGAACAGCTCCCGGCAGTGGCTGCGCTCCACGCCAGTCCCAGGTCACGTAGAGTACGACACACCCGGGTACGGCTAAGCCAAGACCGCCACGCCCGACTCCTGCACAGGGGAGCCCAGCTTGTCACTGGCGACCACGCCATCGTCCGGCACGCCAGACGCGGGAGCTAAACAGGCCACCATCGGAGAGTCCAACGCGTCAGACCCCGGTGCCGTGGAGTCCAGGGCGGCGGCGTCCGGGGCAGTCGATTCCAGCGTGGAAGAATCCGGCTCTGAGGAGTCCGAGTCGACCCCGGTGAACGCCAGAAGGTGCATGCCGAGCCTGGGCGCCGCCGTCTCACCCACAGACGGCGGGCGGCGCGCCGAGTCCAGCTCGTCATGGAGCAGGCGGCCGCGCGACACGGAGGCGGAGCGGCCAGCGCGCCACACTGCGCCGGATCTCGGCGATCGACGGCCGCCGCGCCGGCTGGTGGCACAGCATCTGCGCCAGCAGGTCGTGCTCGTCCGGCTGGCTCTGCTGGAACGGCTCGGGGAACACCAGCCGCCGCACCAGCGTCAGCGTCTGCTGCCGCTCCATCTGCGTGGCGAACGGCACCAGCAGCTCGAACAGGATGATGCCCAGCGAGTAGATGTCCACCTTGTCATCGTACGGGTGGCCCAGCACCTGTTCAGGGCTCATGTAGAGCTGCGTGCCCACCTGGTCGGTGTGGAGGGTGCCGACACCGGACGCGGGCGCCGGCGTGTGGCCGGCCGCCTCGCCGCCCAGCGTCGTCGCCAGGCCGAAGTCGCCAATCTTGATCGTGCCGTCCAGCGAGAAGAAGATGTTGGACGGCTTGAGGTCGCGGTGCATCAGTTGCTGGCTGTGCACGTACTCGACGCCGTTGAGGATCTGCCGGAAGATGGCGAACACGTGCGGCGTGTTGCGTGGTCCGCAGTTGGCGCTGAGCCAGTCCTTGAGTGACTCCTTCTGGCATAGCTGCATCTGGATGAAGAGGTAGACGGCGCTGCCGTCGTCCGACGTCTCCTCGCCCTCGTCCTCCTCCCAGAAGTCGGAGGCATTGGCGCGCGGCGAGCGGTTCGTCTGGAATGCCACCACTGGGCCGCTGCGGCTGGCCGCCGCGCTCGACGACTCGTCATCGTCCTCGTCCGGAATCGTGTAGTCGATCACCGGGCGGCCCGAGTCGTTGGCGAACACCACGCTGTCGTCCTCGTCCCCGGGGGCGTCGCGCCTCAGACCGCCCTCCCTGACGGAGCGCTCCAGCCACGGCCCGTCCTCCGAGCAGCCCGACAGCAAACTGTCCTCGGCCAACGCGTGGTGTGGCGGCGTTCCATCGCCGCTGCCGGGCAGACCCAGCTCGCCGCCGTCCTGCACGCTGAACGTGCCGCTGCTGTCGGCGCTGGCCGAGCGGGCGGCGCGCTCGCTGAACACGATGCCGTCGTCGGCGGAGAGGCCGGCGCGGCCGGAGCTGCGGCTGGGCGCCGCTGGTAGCAGGCCGCCGCCCAGCGTGCGGCGGCCCCGCTCGCGCGCGCCGCCGTCGCCGCTCAGCGCCGACGCGAACCGGGTCAGCCGTCAGCACCGAGCCCGACAGCTCGCGCTCGGGCGGCGACGGCGGCGCCGACCCCGACTCGAGCGAGTTGAGCGGCGTCCGGCTCGACACCCACTCGGATGACTCCAGCACGCGGTCCTGCTCGGCCAGACAGTCCGGCGATGGGCGCTCCGTCCAGCAGTAGAAGTAGCGCACGATGTTGCGGTGCTCGAGCTTCGCCAGGCAGGCGACCTCGCGCAGCACGCGACGGCGCGCGCGCTCGCGGCCCGGCAGTCGGATCCGCTTCACGGCGTAGTTGTGGCCGTCCAGCCGGTTCTTGGCCTCGAACACGACGCCGAATCCGCCGCGGCCCAAGCACTGGACCGGCTCGAAGTCCTCGAGGAAGCGCGAGCGAGGCGGCGGCTGCTCCGCCGGCGGCGGATCGCGCATCACCTCGCGCACCACCTCCACCTCGCGGATCACCTCCTCGCGCACGGGCACGGGCACCTCGCGCACGACGTAGCGCGGCGTGCGCAGGCGCAGGATGGTACGCACGGCGTGGTAGGCGCGCGCCTGGTAATATAGCCGGTAGTGTTCGGTAACGAGCAAGTTGAGCAACACGGCAATGCTGGCGCTCAGCAGCAATATCTGCGGCCACCAATAGGACAGTGATGTCATCAGCACGTACACGACGCCGTCATCCACTAGCCGGTCTTCGTCGCCGGGCGGCAGCTGCGGGTTGGGGAACGGGCCGTGGCTGTCCGGTTCGAGCAGGCAGTCGCTGCTGTATAGGTAGTAGCCGCCCTCATACGGATACTCCTCGGGTCGGACGGCCAGCGCCGTGGCGCCACCGTCGGCCAGCAACAGCGCGTCCAGGCGTTGGCTGGTGGTGCCGTGTATGACGGGCGTGCGGCTACTCGCCGAGACCATGTATGGCCGCCACTTGACGAGCGGAGGGTTGCGTAGCGCCGGAGATACCGCCAGCTGCGAGCCGCCGGCCGGTGCGCGCAGGCTCTGCTGGATGTACAGCTGCTTCTGGTGCACGCCCAGGTAGAGCAGAGGCCGGACGGCGGAGCGGTCGTCGCCGCCGCCGCCGGCCGCCGGCGCCACGAGGTCGATCTCGTGCAGCCGTGCGCCGTCCAGTCGCCACACGTGCACCAGCGGCCCGGCGAACTGGTGGCGCCAGCGCCGGCCGCGCTCCACGCCCGAGAGCAGCCCGTCGGCCAGGCTGGCCGTCAGCAGGCTGTCGGAGACCGGCTGGGCCGCCGCCGCCGCCGGAGCGCCGGCCGACAGCGCCAGCTCATGCCGGCTGACGCTGAAGTTCCAGCGCTCCTCACCCGAGCGCGGCTCGACGGCACGCACCGTCTGCGTGTGCTGGCGCAGCACCAGCACGTCCTGCTGCGCGTCCGGCTGGGTGGGGCCGGGGCGCGCGCAGCCGTGCGGGCCGCACCGGTAGCGCAGCTGGCCGGTGCGCAGGTCAATGCCCAGCGTGGCCACTTGGCTGCCGCCCATGATGACCGTGTCGTCGGCGAACCGGTAGGAGGCCTGCAGCAGCGACTCGGCCGTGACCGGCAGCGGCTCCACCTGCTCGCCGTCAAACGTGAAGAGCCGACCGTCCAGCGACGGGATCAGCCGCACCCACTGGCCCTGCTGCGACAGCTGCAGGTTCTGCGTCAGCGTCGAGCTCAGCATGCCGGCCTCCTGCGCCTGCACGCTCCAGAGCAGCGCGCCGCCGTCGGCCGGGTCCAGCGCCGACAGCTGGCCATCCAGCGTGGAGACGAGTAGCAGGTGGCGGTCGGCGCCAGCGGCCGGCTGCAGCGCCGCGCTCTCCACCGTCTCCACCAGCGCCGGCGGGGCGCTGCCCGTGTACACCTCATTGTAGCGCAGCCGCTCGGAGTCGACCGGCTGGGCGCGTCGCGTGCCCGTCAGGCAGACGACGGCGGCGGCCAGCACCGTCCACCGCGCCCGCGACTGCATCGCTGCCGGCAGCGCTGCCGGCCGCTACTGGCGCGCCAAGCCGCATCTTACCTGCGAACGGAGGGCTTCATTAGCGCGCCACACGCGCACACAACTCCAAAACTTGCCGGCGGCCGGCGAGGCGCTTGCGGTCCGCGCTATTCAACGTCCATCGCCATACATTCAGTGGTGTGGTGCCAGGGCGTGTTGGCACATCGGCTTCAGGGGCACATGCCGCGGTTCACTTCCAACAAGTCACCTTGCAAACGGAGACGGTCCGGTGGGCCCGGGTCATGGCCGGAACCCGGCCGGTCTGGTCTGCCGTACAGTCGACCAAGACAGGAGACTTCACCGTCGCGAGGCTCTTTCGTCCGGCGACAGGGGCCGTTCCGAATAGGCCGCGGCCACGTCTTCCGTCCACGGCCCGACCTTACCATGTGGACTGACGCACGCGCTGGCAGCAGCGACTCCAACTCCCGCCGGACGCGCGGGAGGTGAACATCGGTAGCTGGACGTTCACCCTGGGGTGAACTCTCGCCCATGCCACGTAGAATCATAGGACCTGACAGTGCGCACCGCAGGCCTACCTAGCACGGTTGGATACGTAGGACTACTGGTGCGTCACACCTCCAGAGCGGACATCCCGGCGGCGTCGTCAAGTCGGAGCGCTCGCGGCCAGCCCAGAGATTGCTGTAATCATTTATTATGGAAAATTCGCCCGTGGACATTGCACCATAACCTTTCATAGGCCCGCCAAGGACTACATTCGTAGGCTACTTCCGAACACGCGCTAAATCTTGCAGCAATGCGCCAGACGCCATACCGGACACCATACCGCTGAGCCCCATGCCATGTGACCGCACGGCCGGCCTGAACCGCTGCTGGCTCGCTTGCTGCGCAGTAGCCAGGTGTGCCCCACCCCTCCCCGCCGTGCAGCCGTGCACCGGTATCGACCGACGGGCCCCGCACGCGTGCGCGAGGTGAGTCAGACAGTCGGTGGCGCCCAGCACCAAGCCCAGCGCCGGCGGCATCATAGCGAGACGGCGCCCGGAGGTTAGGACTGCACAGCATCCATCCGGCCTGGGAAATAACCAACGGCGTCCGACGCGGCCTGGACCACACATGGCCTCACTGGGCAAGGGCGTGGCCCCCTAGCGTCGAACCAAACCTTAGATACGAACTAAGTCTTCTTCCTGAGCCATCAGGGTCAGGCCTTTCTACTGGAAACGTGCCCAGTGGAATCAGGAGCAGCCTTCATGTCCGAGCCATTACTGGCCATGAAAAGCGGCGCACCAGCTTTCCTTCCTTCCATCCAAGCGCCACATCAGCCGCCATCAGCAACAGGCTCGAGAAACAACGGAAACACGCTAAGGAGCTCACGGAGGAAAACTTTCGGAAAAATCCGTGTGGAAAGGAAGACTGATGTCGCCTATGTAATGCAATGCTAAGCTGTAATGCACGCCAATAGCATGCTTCTGCTGATGGCATCCCAAACAGCGCTAGCTTCGGCATTTTGTCACAGCATCTGGTGACATGTTTGGTTCCCGTGGGGACCCGGTTCAGTGCCGCCTGCTCTCCGATTGAGTCACACAAGCCGAGCTATATACACAACAGCCAATGGAAATGGAGTGGCCAAGGCATGGAGTTGCAGTGTGTGATGCAAAAGCATGCATTTGGCTGCACACAGACCAGTCTCAATGGAATTGGAGCGCGGCGGTTTGCCTCGCATGTTATGAGATTGGCTCCCCACTTTGATAAGGATTTCAACAGCACAAAATGGGAGTGCTGTGCCACTAATATATCAATCATGTGATCTATAACAGGAATGTCAGTAATTTATGAATCTGATGCCCTCCCCCCCCCCCCCCCAGTGGCAATGTCCTGTGCATAAAACAAACACCAACAGATGTGATCACACACAGGCACATATCATGCAGACTCACCTCTGGTGTATCTTCCAGGGCACTCTCCAATGGCAGCTTCTGAATATCTGGCATTTTGTACAGCTGCTAGATCTGGGGGTGCAAACCATAGAGATGAGCTGTTTTCAAGCAGTTAGCCTTTTTTAGCACAAGTACATTTCCTAAAATGAGGACTTTGCTTTGTGAGTGACAGTAACTGAGTATGACTAACAACCATAACACAGAAATAATTAATGATTCCACATGTTAGTATAAAAGCAAAAATACTTTGTAAGTCGATACATCATCATCTAAATCACCTAAAATGGATAATGGACATACAGTTCATGTTCAGAGACAGACAGGCTGGGATCATTGGCTCATCAACTGGGGTCATCCACTCAAATCCCACTACTCCCCCCTCCCATGTTTAAGACAGAACTGGTAAAGGTGTCCTGCAGGGGGATTTGAACATGAGTGGCAGTTGGGCTGGGGTGAGGAGCAAGGAGATGTCCAGAGAGCCTTCCATTTGGGTCCCAAATAAAAAAGGGAGGTTTCCAGCAAAAGGACAGATATCCACACTCTACTTGCGGTGTGCTGCATTTTCCGGCATAGTGCCATTTTGCAGAGGAACTAAGCTATTGAGATGGACAAAGTGATAGAATGAGAGAATCAATTGGAGACAATGATTCCGATTTGTAGGACTTAAAACAAGTTTAAAAGGTTATATCTCTTGAATCCAGAAATTGACAAAATAGGGGTGCAAACCATGAAAACAAACACATGAATCTTGAAAGCCAATGCTTCATCCTGATCCCTAACATTCAAATATGTAAACAAATGCATTACTACATACTCTAGACAAAAAACTTCTTCAATTAACTAGACAATGCACATATGTGTGATGCAGGGTTGGGGATGCAGTTCATGCTACACACCCTGCAAGTCTTGTGTCACTAGCCCTGAGTGCTTCTGAGTGCTATACCATTTTCTACCCATATACAGCTCATGCCTATGATAAAAGCAAGCTTAAATATATATATATATATATATATATATATATATATATATATATATATATGCATATAAGCAACCCAGATTCCTGGGGGCCATGAATTTCACATTGACTGTTCAGTGCTCATTGGTGGGGTCTTCAAACAAACAATAAGGCTCAATGAGTAGTATCTATCTAAGCTGCACACAAACAATATAGAAAATGAAGGCTGTTTAGTTTATAGATGCTCAGAAATGGATGGTGGATACACAATGTGGGTACACAACTACAAAAACCTCCCGGGTGGTTATACACATGTATACCACCACACCATGTTAACCAGTAAACTCAAAATACTTCAATATCTAAATAACCATACCTTCTACTCCATTAAATCAAAGTTTGCTACTTTAGTGTCAGATGTAGATCAAAATGGATATAAATTGCCATGCCTGCCAGACTCCAGCATGGCACAGAAGAGCAGAAAAACAATGTATAATGTACTTGACTTAAGTCTACCATGACCCTACAAAGTCCAAATTATAAGCATGCAAATAAAGTATTCAAATCCATTTTTAACTGTGGGCACTAACCACCCACCTTCTTGGAGGTTGAACAAACAGTTACCTGTTTTACTGGAGTGAACTCAAGATGTGCTGGACATGCTACAGGCTCTTTATGATTTTGAGAAGAAAACAAATGCATGTACATCAGCAATAATTTTTAACATAAGTCTCCCAATTTCTCATCTCAAAACCTGATAAGTGCCCAAAACTCCCACGTTGAGTTGCTGGGTGTAGTTTTGCAAAATATGACACCAGGGACTAAAGAATGATCAAGCATAACCCCCAAATAAGCACAAAAAACATAGTATCCATGAGTTTGGCCCACTTTCTCCTCGAAGTCGGGGATGCTTGGTCCTCGAGCCTGAAAACGAAATTATGCGCTCCATTCATGGCCTAGGACGTCGGAATGTTCATGAATTGTCTGACTGCTTGCTTACTCAGTCTGTGGACAAATTCATTGAATGCTCCTTTCACAAAGCCGAACGCACCTTGTTCCGTGGATGATACCAGACAAAACCGGCTGAAGGAAAAGGTTTAATTTTAGCAAGCCGAGATATTTCTACGAGTTCAAACACGAACCCCACTCCACAAGTTTCCTGCTTCCTCTGTTGACGTCCGTCGCCTGTTGGTGTGTGACGTGTTCTTCGATAACCGCGGTAGATAGAAATTCTAGGATTCTCCCAATCTAGCGATTTTCTAGTGAATACCTCATTTTAGCTAGAAAATCCTTTAGAAGTATTTGCATGCACTGAAGAGAATTGGCACCCATTTTGGTGCTATTTGGAGGATATCGCTACTCTCCATTGAAACGGATTTCAGTAGACAGCGTTCGTTCAATATGACGGCAACGGGCGACAACTGCACTGACAGTAGAGTTTGGAAGGCGTGGTCTGCGACGTTTCCAGACCTTACGTGACGAAATAGGCAGTCGACGACCTTGTCGTCGGCGGATATCCTTCGATTCGGAGACCTTGGAGTACGCCTGTTCTGGGGAGGCGACGGTAAATTTCGAGTGCGTCCTCCTTCCGGTCTCCGAGGTTTGATTGCTTGCCCGTAAAGCAGCTACTTCCGGATAGGTAAATAAGCCACAGAGTACTGGTAATTTTTTTGAGCGTTGAACCCAACAGCTAATCATAGCATCCAGATTCCCTGACTGCGCGTTGTTCGATTTGGCTCTGAAAGTGAAAGGACCACGTTGATGTGGAAGCGAGTGGTGTTCCATTATTTCCCTGAAGAAAAGTGTAAGCAGTGTGCCAATGCATTGGAATATTTTCCAAAAGTATTGATCCAGTCTATCCACTTTTTGGGACATCCCTATGTTCATTGCACTCAAAATTGCTGCTCTGCTCTAAGTGACACAACCCTGGATAATGTGCTCCAAATTGCTGTTCTGCTTTAAGTGACACAAGCCAGGATAGTAAGATGTGCAGGAATAAAATGTATCAGGGCATCAAAGGGACCCCTGAGATGCAGGCTACCTTGTTATTGGAACTTTGGTCCTTACCCAAAAAGATGTCCCTGTTGCAAGATGTCAAACCAGTGGCATCACAAAACCTAAGTATACAGCACTCCCAGTCCCAGATGAATGGCTGATATTAGGACTGAACAGATTGATGCCATAAACCAAGATAGAGCATATCCAAAACTCATCCAGGACCAGTCTACCAGTCCACCAATCCAACATAAATCTGTATCCTATATTTGTGGTTATTGATATATGCAGATGGTCCTAGGCATAGTTATAGGAGGTCCCCAGACCACCAGAGAAGTGGCAGCTTCAGCCTTGCTAAGGCAGTACCACAGTGTCTTAGATGAGGTGCATCAACCCAAGGTGAAGGATCATTTCCAAGCATTTTGGCAGATGGTATCCCATGCCCAAGTACAGGTGGTCTTCCATCTCTTAGCAAAGAGGTGCATCTGAATCAAGGAAGAAAGGTGCCTACAAATGCATGCAGAGAAGTGCCCCAAATCAGGGATGATGAAATACCAAACAGATGGGGCCCTCAAGCCCACATCCAGGAATCCCGGGCTTCAATCTCTGGGTACCTCTGTATCCAGGTAGAGGGTAACCATAGACACAGACAGAGGTCTAGCCTAGGTGTATGCAGAAGTCCATTTCTTAAAATAGATATATAAATGGCAATAGGCATAGATAGGGAGGCACCCCAGATGCATGATGAGGTGCATCCTAAGCCCAAGCAGAGGTTAAAGGTTTCAGGTTATGGAAAAGCAGCCACTCACAACATGCACAAGATGTAACAACTCAATAGACAACAGGATACCTATAACAACATAGGGGGATTTATGCTCCAGGTCTATGTAAGGGGTGGCCCTCAGATACACAAAAAACATAAAGGAGGGTGACTCAGGTCAAGACAAAAGGACATTCCAAGCCAAGACAAAAGGCCCCAGTGTTTAGGTGAATGTAGCTCTAGATCACAAGAATTTAGTGATTTCTATTAGCAATTTTTGTATTTAATACTATTAAACAGAGCAATGATATCCCTAAAAAATCAGCAGCATCTAGAAACAAGTTTTGAAGACCAGGTGTAGGGGTGGGTCAAGGCTTAATACTGTGGAACATATTGGTGTATGGGTGTGAGTGGAATTGAAGGAAATAATATCAGGGGCCTCTATAAGAAGGAACCAAGCACTCCTAGTGGTGAAGTGGGGCAGCCAAAACCCAGGCAAGGTAACTCAGGACTAGCTGTGCCTGTTAGCCTTAGGAGATAAGCAGCACAGAGAGCTGAAACGGCATGCTTGGAGATGAAGGCAGAGAACACCTTGAGGTAACAGGTTGTCACACCTGAGGCCGAGGATGGAGCATGCAAGGGAAAGGGGCAGGCATGTGAGCAGGAATGCACATGGACTGTGTGAAGGCAGTGGCAGTGTGTGTGAGCAGAGCAAGCCACCCATAGGATAGTGACTGCCTCAAAGGGCATGATGTAGCAAAGCTTGTTGATGTTACTGCTAACAACTAAAGGAGACAGTATTAAGATGGGTGCAATGTTTGTTTTAACCACAGGCCCTTCTGTAGGTGCAGGAATGTACTGGCAGGTACCCCCACCATTGGTAAATTGAAACTTCATTGCATGAATAAGTTGAAAACATTAAGAGACATCAAGAAAAGCCTGGCTGAAATGAATTCCACCAGACTGGGAACTGAGACTGAGAATATCACCATAAGAAGGCACAATGTTGATGCCAACTACATTTACTTTTCTGGGTGGTGTTGGACAGACATAGTATGTTTGTTTTCTGCAGCCAGATGAGATAAGTATAGCTCATCATCTGAACAAATTCCACCTACTGCCCCAGACACTTGCTTTGCTATAAGACAGGTGTCCCAGCTGTTTAAACACTTCACCTGCCAGTGCAGAATGACTAGATGTGCAGTCCACCTCATTTGAACTCTGTTTCCACGGCATGCTCCTGATAGAAACAAGAGGTGCATCATTCTACAAAGCATGCCCTATATATTGTACATATGCAAGACAAAGCATGCAGTATAAGGTGTATTGCATTTTGTAATTTTTATGTATGAGATAGGCACATTGCATACTGCTGCTTTGGTGGGATCCTGTCTTTCCCTCCAAAAATGTGTTTTCTGCCTAAAAGATGCACCATTGTGTTTTAGGGAACTTTTGGGTGAGACTCAGGTGCCATGAAGCATCAGCGAGGGTCATCAGATGGAAGTGGTGGATTGTCTTTCAGCATTCTTGGTTTGCTGCAGGCTCGATGGATATTCCTGGGAGGCTGAAAGAAGAGGAGGATGCTGCTGCCATTATTGGCTCCCCCAACATCACGAGTGCTGCCGAGGCGGCAGAACTGAAGGAGCAGGATGCTGAGGGCCACAGACTTAATACACCATGGACCATGTGGTTGGATAAGTGAGTGATAAGTGATAAGTGAGTTTGTGATAAGTGATGAGTAAGTGATAAGTGATAAGTGAGTTTTGCAGAAGTATCTGTACATGCATGCCAGATAAGGATGGTAATCTGAACAATTATGCTAACTATGAGTGATGTCTTTAAAGTGGCAGTAATCATTAAGCGATCAGTCCTTTATTTCATACAATTGTTTCATGCATTTTCCTTGTACCTGTATTATCTGACACATCGAATGCTGTTTATTTGTTGTATCATTAGTCATATTAAAAATTATTTCATAATTAATGCCTTGAACCTACCTTTCAATTTAAACTAGTCTGGCAATTTGCCAGACGTCAGCCAGCAGTCACGTAGAGCACGCGTGCCTTGCACCCGTGCAGCAGCTGAGCGGGCCGCGTTGCTCGCCGCCAGGACGGAGCGCGGCGTCAGCGCCGCCGAGTACCAGGCCTCGCTGAAGAAGGTGTACACCATGACGACGGTGGAGAGCTTCTGGGCCGTCTACAAGAACATCCCGGACGTGCAGGAGCTCAACACGCGCTACACTTACCACATGATGCGCGACGACCGCAAGCCCCTCTGGGAGGAGCCGCGCAACTCGCGCGGCGGCACCTGGAAGGTCAAGTGCCGCAAGGAGGACTCGGTGAGGAGTGGGCCGAGCGGGCGGGTACGCGGACCTCGCGAGCGGGCCCGCTGTGGCGTGAGAGGGCAGCGGCTGACGGGGCGTGGAGATACTTGTGGCTCGTTGAAAACAAGGCCAGTCCAATAAGGTAGTTGGAGTGGCTAATCTAGTGGTAATCTAGTGGTAGTCCAATAATCTAGTGGTTAGGCCGCGCCTGGGAAACCCAAGGCATGGGAATCGATTCCCCGCGGTGCCCGGCCTTCCTACCAGAGTGGGGGGGGGGGGGGGGGGGTAGGCGATGTTATAAAGCCCCAATAGCTGAGTGCGTCATTAAGCTCCAGTGACACCAAAAGCTGAGAAGGTGACGAGGCTAGTGTTGTGGTGATGACTTTGAGGTCCAGGTTTCTTTGCATGCCTGAAACAAAATTAGCTAGTTCGGAAGCGTTTGTTGTTCTCGGACTGTCCAGTGTGATAACGCTATCATATCTCACCTTGTCACTGGCTTTTCGCCCCATTTGTTACACAGATCGGCGATGTGACGCCCCTCCCGAACACGTGTCCATGCCATTCTGTACATTACGAGTTGCCTGGCCCCAGCTGAGCCGTAGCCACACCACACTGTGGGGCGGAGCGCGGGCCGAGCCGCGCCGCCGTCACACCACTGCGCAGCTGATTAGCTGGTCTGCAGGGCTCTCTGGCCGCCAGTCCGTGTCGTTTGCCGCATCTCTGTGAACTCTACAGGCCATCCGTCGTGCTCAGGTGTGGCCTGCAGCCGCGTTGTTTTGCGTGTATGGGGCGTTGCAGCTTGAGTGTGACTGAATTGATGTTGCAGTCGGAGGTGTGGAAAGAACTTCTCCTAGCCTGCATCGGGGAGCAGTTCGATGATTTCGTGGCCGAAGACGACGACATTTGTGGAGTTTCTATTTCGGTGGGTTCCGGCTCGGTGTTGAGTGTACGTGTTTGTGATGTTCTTTGTATATTTTGGCCGGGTATTGCGTGTTGTACACTATAACAGTAACGATATTTTAGTCGACTCTCTGCCATGCTTTGAGATAATTCATTTACTTGACTGGCTGCTGCATGCTCTTATGAAAGCATGAAGCCGTACAGCCAATTACCAGAGCTACCAAACGTTTGAAGCGAGGTATTGTTACAGACGGCGTAATGTTCTCGTCTGCTGTGTTAGTATCCGCGTAACGTTTGGGCCAGTTAATTCTCCTGTCCTTGTCAGGTGTTTTTGGGCCCAGAGAAGGATGGCGCGGTGTTTGGCTTTCAGCTAGGCATGCGTCACATCCTAAACTTTCCCCGTGAAATTGCTGGGATTCGAAGCAGGGTCTTTTGCTTACTAGCCCAGCGCTTTACTACCAAGCTCCACTCTTCTCAGTAAGCCCAGTGATAAAATATTATATTCACAATCGGAAGAGGAACCTCGTACGCATAATCGGAAGATCTCGGTTCGAACCCCAGTAATTCCACGGAAAATGGGCCTGTAGCGTAAACACGACTGAAACCCAGGCACTCTTCAGCCCTTCCCAGCACTCAATAGCACTTACCCACGGCCGGAGAATTAGCTAACCGGAACCTTGTGCAGATACTAGCACACCAGACGAGGACGATGATCTGAACAATGACTATCTGACCAACCCATGGTATTTGCCTAACTGTTCTTTGTGATCCGTAAGCTGTTTTTTTCTTCTGACGACTGCGTTGTGGCAAATTGTCGGTACCGGGGCCTGGCTCTGATCAGTAATTAATGCCCATGCATCAACAGGGCACCGGAATGTGGTCAAATGAGCTGATGCGCAATCTGTTCTCACTTCGCTGAGTGCTGGGGCACACGTGTTCCAGTGTCACAGTCACATGGTTGTTCCGCATCATCGGTGGCTGACCGAATTCCTTTTCGACCTGCTCGGAAATTTAAATAATGTCACGTCATCTGCGTTTAGCTGGAAGGGCGCTGAGTCCTCGCATTTTGTTGTCTGTATATTATGGACATTTCTCTGCCACTGCTTCTCCCCACACTCGGCGTACGCACGCATGCTTTTCTACCGCTCCCAGGTACCATCGGTGTCCCACTCTGCCCCCCCCCCCCCTCCCCCCGCCAGATCCCACTGTTCTGCAGCGCCAGATCCCACTGTTTGACATCCCCAAGTCCCGCTGTTCCGCAGCCTAGATCCCACCGTTCCGCAGCCCAGATCCCACCGTTGCGCAGCGCCTTTCAGTGGCTTGGGCCGTGCTGCTGGCAGGTGCGCGACCGGGACGACCTCATTCAAATCTGGAACACCAATGCCGCGCGACAGGAGGAGGCCAAGGTCATCGAGAAAGTGAGGCTGCTCGTGCCCCGCGTCAAGTTCACGGCCATATTCTACAAGCGTAAGCAATGCTCGCTTCTGCACTTCTTAAAATGACGGCGGACCCACGTTGCAACGGGAACAGCGATCTTTACTTCTTCATGATGACCTGCATAACTCACTCTGAGCATGTCACACATACGTCATTTTCAGTGTCAATATTATATATTTCACGAAAAAGAGGCACAGTATAGTGTCTTTTTTTTTGTCCCGCGATACGCCTCCGATCTTTTGGTTGCTGTGCTTAATACATCCTGCCCTGTGCGAGCGGTTGTTATCCTGCGCGCTTCCGCCCCGTTGCCCTTTCCTCGGCCATCGCCGCTCACCCGACTTTGATCCGCCCTCCGTCGCAGGTCACGAGACCCACCACGCCTTCGAGGGGACTAACTAGAGACGACCGAAGGCCGCGGCGACGCAGCTGGAAGGTCCTCGGGCCCGTGTGCCAAACGGCGGTGTCCGCCTCCGCCGGAGAGAGTGCGCCCGGCGCTGGAGGCCCGCCGGCAGCCGCGCCGGGCCTCGCGGGCCAGGCGCGCGCCCGGGATCCCGCGCGGTCGGCGCGGCGCACAGGGCCCAGCATCGCCGTCTTCCGCCAGGCCGGCCGGGGAGGACGGCTGCCAGGCCTTCAGTCGGTCGGTACGCCGGCCGCACGTGGGGTAATCGTTTGCTTTGGTATGCTGTCGAACGCTTTTGGCGGGCAGCCGCGGCCGAGGAGCGCTCGTTGTTATATTGCCAACAGCGAGAGGACGCTATTTTTATATCGCTGAGATAACTCGCTGTTATGAATGCTGCATTGGTCTCGGTGTCCGGAGCGGTATGATATAAGCCCACGTGCTGCCACTCAGACGGGAGGGGGCCGCCCTTCAGGTCTGTTCAGTCCCTCCACCCGAGTCGCCTCGCTATCAGTACCAGGATTTGGCCGATCAAAGTTCAATTCCACCACTGCCGTTTTGACTAGAGGGGTGCGTTAAAGACTCAGAAGCCGGAAAAGGCACTGTCGTGGGACGGCACACGAGATGGTCTAGTCTGTCTTCTCCTCGCCGTGAGTCGCGGCAAAAGTATGTCGTATTTTGCATGTGTACGCGCGTCTGTTTCTATTTTAACTCAGAAGTTTGGAAAATTGTTGGGTGCTGGCAGCCCCACCGCTGTCCGAAAGCCAGCTGCTTGGCTAGGGGGTTGTGTACATGCGGAGCGGGAGTGCAGCTCTGTAACGGCGGCTGCGTCGTGTCGTCGGGTTGGGAGCAGGGGCGGGAGCGGGATCGGGAGCTGGAGATGGAACTGCAGCTGGAGCGGGAGCTGGAGCTGGAGCTGGAGCTGGAGCTGGAGCTGGAGCTGGAACGGGAACGGGAACAGGAACGGGAACGGGAGCGGGAGCGGGAGCGGGAGCGGGAGCGGGAGCGGGAAGGGGAGGGAAGGAGGAAGGGCGTTGGTTTCCAGTCTGTCAGACTGGGCGGCTCCAATGAGCCGCGATGCCCAGGTCGAGGCGGCGTGTGTGTGTCACGCATGTGTTCGGCTGAAACCAGCGTCCATTACGCTCACACGTGGCTGCCGCATCGGTAGACGAATGGGATCTGCTTGTCGACACACACCGCGTGGGGACACATTGTCCTGACTCATTCCCACCGACCGATGGGAAGGAGCGTAAAGTTTCGCACAAGTCTTGCATATTATTACCTATTTTTTCGGAAAGTCCGACGTTTCTCAGCGGTTTTGCACAGACGCATATTTTTAGTAAGTCTTAAGAACAGGTGACCTGCCACCTTAGTTGACGCGCTTTCGCACATTTGCTCTCCGTTTTTCGCCAACCGGCACAGATGACGCGGTGACGCAGTCGGTGGATGGCGTAAGGACGGGGAGCGTAACACTGCGGTCAGGCCAGCGGCGCGTGGTGCGCGGGGAACGATCTGAGCGGGTGGCGAAGTGGAGCGCCCGTTCACAACCTCAGCGATATACGTCCGATCAATATCAGCCCACCTGCGAGGCAGCTAATGCTGTCACGCCATGCCTGCACTGACGGCGTGGATGTACCGCGAACGATAGCCCGGTGTGCGGGGAGAGGTTCGAAGCGCATCGGATGAACACAGCATGCTACTTTACAAGAGCTTTTTTCGTTCCACCATAGGCCACGATGGGGGCTCGTCAATCCTGATCAGTACCGAAACAGTGGGTCACCCGTCCGGCGGTACCTGGGGACAGTACAGCGTTGCCGCAGTGATGTGATAGCGGACCGTATTTCCGTTGGCGCCCTGGTGGACGTGGGGTGGGCCGCCAGTGTGTGATGGCAACAGGAGACCATTCCTCCAGCGGCGCTCTGGTGACAGTGAACCGTCTCGTCAGTGGTGGCCGGGTGATTGTGGATTGTCCCTCCGGTGGTGCCGTGGGGCAATAGACCGTCCCAGTGGTGCCCTGGTGACTTGTTCCTCTACTGTGGGCGCTCTGGCGAGAGTTTGTCACTCTAGGGGTGGTCTGGGACAATACCTCTCTTGTGCCCTGGTGACAGAACACTCCCTCCATTGGTGCTCTCGGACAGCGGACCATCCCCGAGTGGGGCTCTGGTGACGGGAAGCCGTGCCTCCATTGGTGTCCTGGTGATACTGGCCTCGTTGGCGGAGGTCAGTAGACATTCATACTCGCGTCACCAGCTCTTGCTGTTTAGCATTGATCTTGGAGGCTGCTTCGTATGAGGAGATGCATGTTATTCGGGACTACGCGGCCTTGAAGTGTACCTTTCGGGGGTGCGGGTCGACCGGAAGTGTACCTTTCGGAGGAGGGGGGGGGGGGGGGGGATCGACTGGAAGGTTGCCCTGTGACGTGTACATGTGAGCCTTTCGTAGGTGCGATTTGGATGACTGCCGCAAAGTCGTTGGGTGTCCCCGTGAATATGTGTGATTTACGCGGTCTTTCACCGAGCGTGGAATAGGATGGGGTTGGCTTTGAAGGCGACTGAAGACACAAAACTTGGAGAAGTCCGAAACATCGTTGCATTCCGTCACACAAACGTAAGTGCGTTTGGTGGGGCTCACTTGGGAAGCGCTATGGGGCATCCTCGAAACAATCCCCAGCTCCCTCCTCTTCTCCTGGCCCGCTTCTGAGTGCACATCTCCTGCGGCGGTGAGAAAAGGAAGGCCGTAGGGTCGCTCGTTTTACGGTGGTGCGTACGCCACCAGTCGGCGTAAAATGCCCATTCGACCGCAGTGGTAAGAGACGCGTGTCGCTCATGCGGTCGGCGGGGAGGCGACGTCGACGCTTTCCGTGCCAGATGGCTTCGGTGCAACGCAAAGCTTCATGTCGAACATTGGAACGATGCAACATATTTGTGTTAATTCAATAATGGCATCAGGGGCTCCGCGCGGGACCTTTTCACTCGTGCAATGTCCATGGTCCTGTCTTTTTCCGTGGTCGGTTGGACGTAGTATCTTTTACAAGGACAATTTCGATGTCCTCTGTCGGTGCAAAGTGGAGTTCACGCTCAGATGATGGGTGTAACTGGAAGTGCTCATACTTAATTTGTCGTTGCCAAATCAAAACTATGCGTTTAATGGTGTCGCACGGGGCGCATTTTAGCTTAGGCTACAACCGCGAGCTTGAAACTGTTCATGTTTGCTTGGGCTTGTCATGAACGTCAAATTGTGGACGGTGTGTGTTCGTTATTAAAATATGTCACCCTCGTATGACATGTCACGTATTCATATTGGCAGTAGGCAAATCGGAGGCCGGAAAGTGTCAAATGGGTTTTTTAAGCAGCACCGGCTGTTTTGGCACTGTTCGGAAGCTGATCCAACTCCATACTACGCTTATGCGACAGTCAACCCCAACTGTATTAGACTGTACTCCGCCAGTGAAGTTTCTGAAAATGTGGGGACGCTGGAAAGTTTGTGCATGCTCCATCGTATGGTGGGCGCGAGACTATGCAATACATATACTGACAACTGGTAAACGCGTTTTGTAGAACAATTTTTAGGACGTGGAATACGGCGTGTGTGAATACCGAAAGCTGGTGCAGAGTGACGCCTTCTCATGTGCAGTGCCACGTGAGTAGGCAGCCCCAAACAATCCGATCTATTCGACGCCCCATTGGTGCATTTTGCCGTTCGGCGAGGCGCATGCATCGGATGGTTTGCGTCATGGGCCGTCGCCGGCCATCTGCACACAATAGCATCGGACCTGTGAGTGGCGGCGGCGGCCCTGCCCGGACGGTCCCGCACGGGCGGCCCCGCTGACCGGAAGAAGCTGTGTGGGGTGCGCTCGGCGAACGCCCCGTCGGTGAGGGTGCGCACACGCCTCTGCCCGGACCAAGTCCTGCCGACTCGGTGCGCGGCAATGCGCTCCACGATGTCGCTCTGAGGAGGCCTGCCGAGCGTGTTCTTGTCCGGTGGATACAGTTAACGCCACCTTGCGGCTCTCGTCACGGGATGGGGCCAGCACTGCGCGATCCTGCTCCTGGCCGTGTGTTGGCGAAGCTGGTGATGTCGAGTCGCTCTGCCGCCTGGTAGCAGGTGATGTCGAGTCGCTCTGCCGCCTGGTAGCAGGCGATGTCGAGTCGCTCCGCCGCCTGGTGAACGCAGCCACAGCGGCCGCGCTTCACCTCCGAGGCGCGGGAACTCAGCTCTGATCTCCCTACCCTGGCACAGCCTCGCCGACCGCCGCTACTGATGCGCGGCAGCAGCAGCGACAATGCCGAATGGTGTCAATCGTGTGACTCTGAAGCCATGAAGTGGTCACACGATCTGCATTAACTACGCAAATGTACGCACGCACAGACGTACATAGGCGTCGGTAAACTGTAGATGACCTGATTAAGAGGGTCTCATGTAAGATATAATGTAAGATGTAAGATATAAGGAACTGATGTAAGAGGATCAGCACTGAGCGATGCGCCTTTTTCTGAACGTTGCGTGCGATGCCGCATGATGGAGCAGACAGGTTATTGATGCTCTTTCAAGAGCATTATTTATTTTGGTGCCCCGCTGACGCAGATGCGAAATCAGGTGCCTGTTTTGAAAACACGACATCAAAGGACGGAACTTTGCGATGCGTAAGTGGGACTCTGCTGTATGAAGAAGGCATCAGTTCCCCAATTTACGCTTAATACTAGGGCCAAAGCCTGCAGCTCACAGAGGCACCTGGGCGCAACGCTCGGTGCAACGCGGTGACGAAAAATGACACTACCAAGCGTGTAACATAAGACAGTCCAACATGCTTCGCTCCATGCGCGATTCCTTTAATTTCTCTGATCTCATTTTCGCAATGGTGTGTTTTCAGCATGTGCGCGTCGGATCCCGCAATGAGTGCACATAAAAAATATGGACATATCGTTTCCATCTGCAAATTGCCGTGCCCACAGTTGGGTGAACAACAACGTTACATGCGTGACTCGACGGCGTGATTAGAGACATCTGGTAACGAGGTCGCACTTCGGCGACAAGGAGTGCTTTTTACATTCTCTCGATATAGTTGTGACTTTGCAATTGTTCAAGTTTACCTCGATTGGGTCGCACGCAATATGCAGTATGCAATATGATTTAAGCAAAGCTCATGCATTGT